GCCTGTCCCCTCAATGAAGAGTAAGTTTCCATTTGTTCCAGACCTCTCTCTAACCTGGGGGAGATTCCTCTCTGGCTGCACTCATGAAGTTGCATTCCTGTCCCCACAGGCTGCTACAGGTTGCCAAGGTTGGCCAGCAGGAGGGCAGTGTGAGAACTTAAGGGTCATAGCAAGGCAGGAGAAGAGCATGGACTGTACCTGCTTGTTGAAATCAACAGACTGTGAGCCGCTTGGAAAAAGGGACTGTTCAGGCCTTTAACCTTCCTGCTAAGAAACAGCATCATCAGGGAAACGGGGTCTCTTGCTAAACACCTGGTTACTTTCAGGATAAACTTCAGTATTAGATTCCATTTTGAAAATTAAGAAGGCAAGTAGAACTGCCTTTAAAGAGTTGATTAATAGATTCAGATATCTCAGGGAGGAAGGTTTTGGAGGGGAGAGGGGCCATAGTCCAACTGCTCCTCGCACCGCTGTCACCTTGCTGCTCTGATGACAAAGGGCACTTCACCGGGCGTCTTGGCGCAGTCTTTCTTTCCCAAAGTTGTTTGCAGTGTTGGTCTGGACCAGAGGCAAATCCTTCAGCGTCGGGTTAGTGCGGACGGCTGCTGGACTCCAGATGGGACCTCTTGCCAGCTGCCAACACACTGCTGCTCTCTGCTTGCTCAGAGAATGGGCGCTTGTAGGTCCGACCGTGTCCATTCACTGCCCCTCGCTGCCACTTGCAGATGTCTCCATTCAGGATGTCTTGAATGTGCTGGACTATGAGGTTTATAGCCACTGCAGCCAGAGGAGTGGGAAACATACAACACATGTCAGCTTTCTCTGCTGAGCTACCTGGAACAAGTGGAGCACCCGGCCCCATCCCACTCGAGTTTTAACCAGCCTTTAAATGAAGCTATACCAGCCCCCTGCAATGAGGTCAGACCTCAGCAGAGACCTGCACCATTGGCTTTGAACTCAGGGTCCTGTTTTGCATCTACAATTGCTTATCCCTTGTTCCAGCCTTCTACAGATCTGCAGCTGGTAATCCTGGAGCATCTCCCTCCAACAAAATGTGGCACGCTCAGAAGTGTGCCACCAGGGCCCTGGTTGCCACGTATTCTCCCTTCCCAACCCCAGAGCTGCTCTCCCCAGAGAAATTAGGCAGAGAACTGAACTCCCTTTTTTACCCATGTTGTCAACTCCTCGGGGGATGATCACATCTGCGTACTTCTTTGTCTGCAAAACAGCAATGAGGGTGGAGACTGTTAATGGGAAAGTGGAAAATTCTTACCAATCTGAGTGCAAAGATGGGCAAAGCGTTATGCTCCAGTGCTGTGAGTTAAAGCTGCCTATGATGGTAACATCTCAGTCACGCAAGCACCTAAATTGCATTGTGCAGCAAAATGAGCAGACTGGTCTGCCTCTGAGTTTCTCTGCTCTCTCCCTGTACAGAGTGGGCTGCAACCTCGTCTCCTGTAAGGCTTAAAGGATAAACACAGAGAGGGAGTTTTACATTGCAAGCGATCTGTGCTACTGCAGCCCCAGCAATGAGGAAAATGCAAAACAGAGCATTGCACGACAGCTTTGTGCAGTGCAGGAGGGATCTCTGCCTCATGAGGGGAGGGAGAGGGAGAGGTGGAGCACGGGACTCGCTCAAAAAACTCAACTCCCAAAGGCAGTTCCCAGCACGGCTGCACCTACAGCTCCTCCCCAGGCTCTTTCTGTCCCCAGCACTCAATGCGGACGAACGCTCGGTACCGGCAAGCAGAACTCCTCGAAGGCGGGCTTCACAAACGTGGTGTACTGCGTGAGGATCTGCTCCAGGTCCCTCCCACGCTTCATATCTCGCAGAACTGGAACGGGAAGATCAAAAAAAACCCGAGTTCTATCGCGGGGACGGACGGATAAGAACCGGCAGCAGAACGACGGCCGGCGGATCGTACCTCTGCGGGACAGCCGCACGTCGGAGTCCGTGTCCACAAAGAGCCGCAGGTGGAACATGTCGCGGATGTCCTGGTTGTAGAACACCAGGATGCCCTCGAACAGCACCACGTCGGCCGGGTACACCACGGTGGTGTCCGGCATCCTGCGGGAACGGCACGGCGCTGTGCTGTGCTGTGCTGAGCAGCTCCGCCCTGAACCGAACCGAACCGCGCCGTACCTCGAATGGGTCACGAAGTCGTAGGTCGGCACCTCCACCGTCTTTCCCTCTACGATGTTTTTTAGGGTTGCGCGCATCAAATCGTTATCAAAAGCGTCTGCAAGAGGGATGGGAGCGAGAGGAAGAAGGTTAAGAAGGTTCGTTGAGGCCCGGAACGCCGGCAGCCGAACGAACGGCGCGGTCACAGCGGGATGGAGCTCAGAGCGGCACGCCGCGGGATGGGGCGCGCCGTACCCGGGTGGTCGAAGTTGTACTGCCCCTTCAGCGCCTTGCCCTGCTGCTCGGCTGTCAGCACCTTGTAGAAGCTGTCCTGGCTGAGGATCAGCACTTTGCGCTGCCGCCGCTCCACCTCGTTCTGCCCCAGCAGCTCCATGATCTTCTCGCACACTGTGGACTGAGGGCGGCGGATCAGCGCCCGGCGCCGACGAACCGAACCGACCCCCATGCCCCCCCATCGCCCCGGCGGTACCGCGCGCCCGGAGCCGCTCTCACTTTGCCGCTGGCGGTGCCGCCGCTGACGCCGATGAGGAACGGCTTCGGGTGCGGCCGCTCGGGCTCGGCGCCGCCGGCGGAGGCCATGGCGGGCGCAGGGTGAGCCGGGCGGAGCGGCGCCGCCGCGAGGGGCGCTGGGAAATGTAGTCGGTGGGGAGGGGCGGCGGGAGCGCGTGATGGGGCGGGTCTCGTCGTTGGGCGTGGCTTATATGAGACGTGACTAACGGAGGGCGGGGCTTAGATGGGGGCGTGGCCCAGCGGGGGGCGGGGCTCGGGCACGGGGCGGTGCGACGCTGACTCGTGGGGCCGCAGGGGGGCGGGCGGTGTGTGGGGCGGCACTGTGTGCGTGTGGGGCTGCGAGGGGCACACAGGGGGCACCTGTGCATCGTCTATACTTGTATGTGTATCTCTGAGTAGGTGTGTGCAAATGTGTGGCTACAGCCAAAAGGCTGTGCAATGTACAGCCGTAAGGACACCACACAGATGGATGCATGGCTGTGTAACACTGTATGGCCGGATGCATGACTGCGTGTGTTCATGATGTGCACACACAGTGGGCTAAGTAACTACGTAGGCTCACACACAGGTGTATGAGCACTTTAAGTTACATTCTAATAGGTGCAGGGATTCTTTATTCACCTGTATACAGCCCCTATATACTTAGGGGCTAAAGGATGTGCATATTCATAGCTAAATAGATGTGGCACGTATTTAACGTAAGTATGTAGCTAAACCATGTGCTATGAATGCAGTTTCTGTCCCAACAGCCGTGTTTACTGTGACAAATCGCAGCCCTGCTCACCCCATCCCTGCCTGCCACCGCCGGATGCCGTCGGTCAATGATTAACGCTGGGTCGGGGCCGCCCAAGGCCTGGAGGGATGGAAGAGGCCGGCAGGATGGAGGCTGAGAGACAGGTGGTGGCTGTCAGCAATGTGGCCTTTGAGGACGACCCGCCGCCCTACTCACCGCCCGACCCCAAGAGCGCGGAGCTGCTGTTCCCGGGGGTTTTCCACCCCCAGCCCCATCCCCACCCGCCGCCCTTCATACAGCAGCCGCTGCCCTGCACCGCCGTACGTAACCAGGCCTGCTCCCCTCGGCCTCCACGGGTACACACGGCTGCTGACCCACACTCTGTCCTTGCAGTCCGTGGGGCCTCCTGGCACGGGGCCTCCAACCGCCGCCCAGCAGCCGCCCAAGGACTACCTGGTGGAGTCGGTGCTGGTGACGTTGTTCTGCTGCCTGCTGACCGGACTCGCCGCCCTCCTGTATTCACATGAGGTAAGGACGGGCCCCGCTCAGCCCCTGCCGCAGGCCGTCACCCTGCTGACCTTTCCCCTTCTCCCCACGCCAGACCCGTGCTGCTCTCGGCCGCGGGGACTTGGCCCAGGCCCAGGTGGCGTCCAAGAAGGCGCAGTCGCTGGTGCTGTTCAGCCTCATCCTGGGGCTGTTCGTCTCCTTCAGTTGGGTCGTCTATGTCCTGGTGGCTCTGTACTGGTGATGGGGCTGCGGGGACACGGAGCGCAAAGCTGAGTGCCGTCAGTGAGGAGCAGCGATGGCGGCACCGAGCCCAGCAGCCGTGTGCAGCGTCGGCCCCTGCACCAGGGTGCTCAGTGACTGTTGGGACCGACACGGGGAGCTGCACAACGCTGAGGGCAGCAGCACAGCTCCGGGACACAGGGGGATGCGTGGCACTGTGCAGGGCTGGGGCTCGGAATGGAGCAAACGGCCCCACAGCTCCTCATAGGCTGCTCTGGGTGTGCAAGCACACCGGAAGTCCCCCTGGTAATTAGGATTGTGCAAAGATTCCCACGTATTTGAGCTTCTACAGCAATGCTGCATGCACAGCTGTGCTGCATCGCCTCCTCCTCGCTGCTTCCAGTTCTAAATAAAATACACACAGCCAAAGCCTTTGTGTTCTGTGAGCACCACAGCCCCTTCCCACCCATGGCTTTCATCCACCGCAAACGTTTGGGCAAATTCTCCTCCAGTCGGTCAACCTGGGACTTCCTCCAAGGCCCCCACACTCACAGCCGGCGTCGCGTGCTGCTCAGCGTCTGAGCATCCTCCTTCTGCCCATTATTTACAGAGGAATTTTGAACCTCATCCAGGACTGAAATAGCACCGGCAGCCGCTCGGGGGTTATTTATGGCCAAGCCGCGGGCTGGGCTGCAGCAAAGGGTTCAGAGCCCTCTGTTCCCATCAGTGCCCAGAGGAGGACAGGAAGAGATGTTCCCTGCAGGGCCCTGGGCTGTGCTTGGAGGGGGGGGGGGTCCACAGTGAGGGAGCAAGTGATGTACAGCAAAAAGGGCCAATGGCAGAGGAGAAGCCGGAGGGGGATGTGAGAAAACACGAGGCCACACCAACTTGAGGAGCGGATTCGATTGTCACTTTAATCCACAGACTGCTGCATGCACTGTAAACAGGATCGTTAGGCAGGTTTGTTACTGGTATTTATTTGTCTTTAATATAAAAGTTACAGGTTTGAAATGTTTGCAGGAAGATGCCACCGTTGGGACTGGGTTAGTGGTATATAATATATCATACAGCCAAACAGCTGGGCTGCGGGGAGGCTGGGGAGCAGCCCAGTGCTGATAGCAAAGCACATCGCTTCACCCTGCCTGCCCCTGGGAGAACAGAGACCCCCAGGGGAGAGGTGAGCTGAGAGCCGGATGCCCCCAACCCCATCCCTCTGCATGGAGCCCTGGGCAAAGCACTGCTGCTCCCTTCATCCCCAGAACGTGGGGACCTGGAGTGCTGGGGCCATCGTAGTGCTGCCCCTGCGCTGTCACTCCTGCAGCACACAGCAGCGATGGGGCAGCACAGCTCTGCACCAGGTGGAGGGGCTGCGTTTGCCATTTCCATCTCATTGTGTTGCTTTCTTTAAATCCTATTTACAAAGGAAAATAAAAATCACTTCCTGCTTTGGGGATTGCAAAGCTTTGGCCGGGCATAGTGCGCAGCCCCAGGGCTGTTAACAGTGCCATAAAAAAATAAAAGGTTTTGAAATGTTCTGACTCAGTGCCACAGCACAGCCAGGGCTCCGCTCCTCCTGCTGCTGCGGGCTGTGCAGCACAGAGCACAGCTCACCTCACACACCAGGCTGTCCTGCACTTGCAGCCCCGGTGCCAGTGGGAAAATGATGATGTTGGGTGCAACCTCATGAGCGGAGCAAAGCACCGCGCTGCAGGCATGGCCAGGCAAGGCTTTGCAATCTGCAGAAGGAAATGCTCGTAACTCTGATCCACCCGGAACAAACAGGAGCTTGGCAAACACTGACCTGCGATGGAGAAGTAAAGCGAGGATGCTCTGTAAAACATCCCATGTGAGCCACTGCCCTGAGCTGCAGGGAGCTCTGAAAAACCTGCCACTGTGGGACACGGCTCTGCAGAAGGCCTTGCGAGGGGGTAAAACCTACAGCATGTGCTCAGAACCACGACCCACGCTGTAAACAACTGAATGGGGCCAGAAAGGAAGGAGGGGGGAACAGCCTGGGAGAGGGGATGGGGACACAAAGTGGGGATGGAAGGGCTGAGTAAGGCACACGGAACAGGAGGGGAGCGAGGGGTGCGGGCAGTGCTGGGGATGGGGCAGAAAGGGGCTTCTGAGCACAGCACCGTGGGTCACTGGGATGAGAACCATTTGGCAACAAGGAGAGGAATGGAGGGGGCCAGGAGCACTGAGCTCCTTACAGCCCCAGGGAGGGGCTGCTGGCTCCTCCAGTGCCCTGGGGCAGCCCTCAGCCTCTTTCCTTCCAGCACTCGGAACGATGCTGTCACTGTTGTGAGTTTTATACACATCATGTTTTGCACTTTTTTTTTTTCCTATAAACCCATCGGTATTCAGACATGCATCAAAAAGAAAAATCTCCAACGGATTCTAAATACTAATATTTACAGTCATATACTACAGAATTTACTGTGCAAAAGCTAGTACCATCACTACAAGATACGGGCCCACAGGGCAGGTGAGCGCGGTACCACTATCAACATTTCCAAGGGTCAGAGGGATCACTGTGGCTTAAATAGTGAGATCTGAGAGGAGGAGGGGGGGACGATGGCTGGAGACGGCGGCTCCCTGCCCACCATTCAGTGCCTCTTCTGTATCCATTAGCGGTGCCTTCACCTCACTGAGAAGGCGAGAGAGATGTGGGGCAAAGCGAAGCCCCCTGTAAACAAGCCCAGCCCTCCGGCAGGCAGCGGGGCTCCTTCACCCCCATCTTCCTGGGAAAAGCCTCAGCTGCTGCCTGCGAACACCATGAGATGAGCCCGCGGGCGCCGAGCTCTGCTCACCCTCCATCCGGGATGAAGACAAAAGCCCGCGTGTTTCCAAACACCATCAGTAACACGTTGCCTGGCACCCTCCTTCCACAAAGCTCTCTCCCTGGTGGAAAAGCTGCTCGATGGCACAGAGGGATGGGAGGAGGAGGGAGGCGAGCGCTGCCCACTCTCAGCCTGCTGCCGTCCGCGCGGCGGCCACCGCTCTGCCAACGCTCACAGCCCCGAAGTCGCTGCCAGCCCGGAGAGAGGCCATGTCACCCCGTAACAGGTACAAATACTGAACTCCAGTCTCATAGCTGCCCTCCGTGCGCCTGCCGAGCAATTCTCCTCGCTCGCACAAACCCTCTTCCTAAGTTTTCTCCTCCCTGTCTGTTTTCCGCCTCGTAATGTTGCGAGGTTTGATTTTGAGGGACAGTTCCCACAGCGCCTCCTCTGCCAGGTGGTCGCTGAAGTCGTTGAAGAATGACACGATGTCGTCGTTCCTCCTGATGTCGTAATGTCTGCAGAACCACAGAGAAGGGCTGCAGTTAAACGAGGGGCTGAGGGACCCCCGGCACGTCCCCACACAGAGCCTGCGCTGCGTTCTGTGTCACCTGAGCCCACAGCTTGTGATGGGCTGTGACACCAAGGGGACAAAACATCATCAGGTTGGATATCAGGAGGAAGTTTTTCATGCAGAGGGTGGTGAGGCACTGGAACAGGTTGCCCAAGGAGGCTGTGGATGCCCCATCCCTGCAGGCATTCAAGGCCAGGCTGGATGTGGCTCTGGGCAGCCTGGGCTGCTGGTTGGTGGCCCTGCACACAGCAGGGGCTTGGAACCAGATGAGCATTGTGCTCCTTTCCAACCCAGGCCATTCCATATCCACTGAGGAAAGCTCTTTGTGTTCCTGAGAACCTCTGTTCTCAGCCACAGCAAAATCTGCCATGGAAAGAAAGAGTAGGAAAACAAAGACAGGGTTTCTAAAAGCAATACTGGAAAAACACCATCACAACTCAGTAATCTTATCTAACCCAGGGAGGGGAGCAGACCACAAGCACTGTAATCATGTCACAGCCAGGTCCCCTTACAGCTCCACCTCGATGTTGTCCCTCCTGTGCCCCCACAGTACCCGGCTCAGACCCCACTGCCTCACTTACACCTGTTGGAAGCACCTCATGCTGTCCAGGATGTTAAACTGCTGCCAGCGCTTGGAGAAGTTCACCTTGCTGTCGATGTAGTCTGGGTTTCCCAGATGAACAAAGGTCAGGTCCTGCAGAATTAGGCCTCTGAAAGAGAGAAAAGGGCATAGAGCCAGAGAGTAGGAAAACAAGCATAGAGGTTTGCCATACATGGGCAGGAGAGCCAGCCAAGGGCAGCCACACAGAACCTGACCAGCTTCACTTTTAAACTGGAGGGGAACGTCTCCCTGGCAGCAGACATGGAGGTGCTCAGGTGTTAAGTGCAGCTGAGAGCAAGAACAGCTGCTGTGCTCATTACCACCCTCTGCACCCCCTGCAGCCCTCCCCAGTCCCCCACCAGGCGACTCTCCTTCCTCCAGGAATTGTACAATGGAAGAAAGCGAGATCAGAAGTTCTACTGGTGCAAGAGCAAATGTGCCACCTGGACCTGAGAGCCCCTGCAGAAGAAGGGAAGGGCTTCAAGTCAACAGGATGAAGCACCTGTGTTTGCTAAGGGAGATTCTTAATGGAACAGCTCTTCTCAACCATAAGAATCTGAGCTGTTTCAGAGGAGCAAGCAGCAGCTTGAAGCTGTGGGACCCACTACAGCTCATGGAAAACTTGCCTTGCAGTGAATAGACCACAAAGAAAGTATAGGTAAAAGGTGTCTGCTGAAGATTCAGCCACTGAATCTTTCCTTTGCCAGTCACCCTCACTAAAAGAAAGTCCAGACATAAAGCATCTGAAACAGCAGCAGCAGGTGGTCTGAGCTCTGATCCACAGTTATAAAAGGGAATGAGATCCTCAGCGGTGGCAGCAGATGGAGAAAACCAGTCATCCTGCACTGGGAACGCAGTGTCACAAAGGGGAGCTGTGCCAAGGGCTGCCTCCCTGCTGCAGGACAGAACTGCTCCGAGAGGGCACGTGGGTCTGACGTGGCACAGCGACGTCATTTTAGATGTAGCACAGAGGCTAAGTGCTCAGCTGGGCTGACACTGCTGAGAAACCACGGAAGGAACTGCTGGAATGCACAGAAGTAAAGGCAGAAGAAAGGAAGCACCGACTCACAGGTATGGGATGCAGGGAGGTTCCACATCAGCCAGGGCTGCCCGGTAGGCGCGGAAGGACGAGGAGCTGTCGATCAGAGTGCAGTACTCAGCCAGGCCCTGCAGAACACAAAGCCCCCAGTCACCCCTTTATCTTTGTAACCTCTCTCCTGGGGAGTTGACGCCACCCTGCAAACACCACCAGCTCAGTTTGCTCAGTTTGTGTTCTCACAGAACTTCACTGCTTTCAGCTCCACCAAAGCTTCACTGCACAGGGAGGAAGCAGCTGTTCCCTCAGCCCGGGGCAGTGCTGGCACTCCTACAGCTGTCAGAAAGCCCTGCAGCACTGCAGGCTGCCAGCACTGTGCCATTACGCCCACTGAAGAGCATTCATCCACCACCCCTCCACCCTGTCATGCTGCTGAGCTGTTAAAACTCACCCTGCTGCTTCATATCACAACCACAGTTATCCTTTTTCCCCTACACATAAAAGCCTTGCGCTGTTCCTCACCTCTGAGGTTTGTTTCTGCCACTCCAGCCTTCGGATGGGTGCAGAATCCAGTGCAGAAAGAATGGCCAGATAGGAATTAAAATTATTCAGCTTTCGTAAGTGCTGTGAAGAGGGAAAATATACGAGTTACACAGAGATCTGTAATGCCTCAGAACATAAAACAGCTTTACCATCTGGCACGTCCCACTCTGCTGCTAAAGAACAGCATGGGTGATTCACAGCACTGAGCTGATACCTTCATGATCTTGATAAACTTAAGGAGCAGCCTCTCTCGGTCCTGGGCTTTCTCTTGCAGCATTATTATGGAACGGACCCTGGAAGAACAGAGAAGGATAAACTCACTTCAGCAGATCTCAGATTTCCTCTCGTTCCATTTACAAAACTGACAACTATTAAGCATGGATCAACCACACTGAAAAGTTTCTGATATCTCCAACTCAAACTGAGTGAGGAATAATTCCAAGGATGAGAACAGTGATCATTCAGGGCGCATTCGTTTGCAAGGGGAACGTTTGTTGGAAGGGCTCAGTGGTACTGGGTTATTCCTCCATGTTACAGTGCCCTCCAGAACTCATCATGTTATTTCTCTTGAGCTCCACCAAACTTGTATATCTACTTCCTGGCCAAAAATACACGTGTGATCCCACTTACAGGAGCCCAACTGCAAGGCATGTGCAATATGCAAGGAATATCCTGAGCTCTAAGACAGGGGAGGTTAGGCACGGCTCAGTGCCATGGGTGCTGTGAGCTCCTTACCAGTAGGACATGTTATTAAAGTGCTCTGTGAACTGCGTCAGGTTGGGGCTCTTCTCTTCATTTTGCTCTTTCGCCCAAAGCAAAACTTCTGGTATCTGCCCAGGAAGAAAAACAGAGGGGTGGCAGAACACCACACGTTATCATGGGATTTCTGCCTCAGGATTCCCAGCCACAGCCTGTGGCCGTGGTCTTTTGCTGACACAAGTTCAGCTGTCCTCTGCATTATGCTGGGAATACCAGAGATTGCAGAGGGATGTGTGCAGGTCTCTCCCTCTGCCCTCCCCCCATCCTTGTCTTCGTACCTCGATTTTATAGAAGAGTTCAGCATCCAGGAGGGTCAGCTGCTCGGCTATTTCATGACTGTGGAAATCATGCAAGGTCCCCGGCCTGCAGGAAAGAAAGATGAAGAAGAAAGAATATGAAAATGTAACCCGCTTTCTTTCCTTTCTTCTAGTTTAGACTGAGAAAAGCCTTGCGTCCAAATAAAAGGGATGCCCTGCTCCTGAGAAAGGACCAAGAAAATAGCCACATGTGTGCTTCCTCACCTGGCTGCCACCCCTCGGGCTGCAAGAGGTTTGATGGAGTTGGCATATCTCAGCATCTTCTTCTGATCCACTTTGTCCAGGATGTTTTTGCGCAGCACTCTGGCGAGGCTCAGCTCCCCGTTGCAGACCAGCCGGAACACCAGGTCCATCAGCAGCTTGAGGATCTCCTCTGTCAGCTCCACTAAGCTGAAAGATGGCAAAGCCAGGGCAGGCATCAGGACGACGAGTCCAGGACGCAGGTGTTGTTACAGACTGTGCAGCTCCCACCCCAAAACTATGAAGGCAACTCACCACAGCTCATCCACCACTCTCACCAGCACGAAGAAGGTGTTCTTACTGACTCGCTTCTTAAACGTATCTGGGAAGTGGCAAAACTTCTCATATGTTGGTTGCAAATTAAAGAATCAACCGCTAGAACAATTAACAGCTGCCCTGAGGAACATCAGAACGGGTATTACTCCATCTTGATTAAAGCTGGTGTTGAGTTTCTAGGAGATGGAGGACACTGCTATGGCTCTAATTAACATGGCACTGAGCTGCCACCAGGGATGCAGCAGGGGTGTGAGGGGGTCCTTGTGCCTTGCAAAGCTGATGCTAGCAGGGCAGGTGGACCCTCAGACTACTGCCTCTAAGGTGGCATTTAACGAGCTGCACTCCTCTACTGCCATCTCCCACACCAGACTGCCTCCCTCCCTCATCAGGTCTCCTAACAGATCTCAGACGTCACCTCCACCTTCCTCTCTGCCCAAATGGGGAGAGGCAGTGAAGGAGACAGCAGAGGCCGAGCACGTTTCCACCAGGTGCACAAATGGAGAGAGAAACTGCAAGCCAAATATCAAAGAGGGCCTGAAGGAGAGCCCCAGCCAATGCTTCCACCGACAGCTGCTCCCCAAGGAGATTCTGCAGTGTCCTTGGCAGCACTGATCCCAGCAGGAGAGAGGGAGGCCGTCCCTGCTGCAGATGGCAGTGATGAGCTGTGGCTCGGGGCAGGGTGACATCAGGCTGCTTTTGTGGTGGGTGTGAGCAGGAGCAGAGCTCACCAGGCTCTGGGGGTGACAAGGACAGAGCCAAGGGAGGCACTGCGTGCAGCGTGCTCAGCCTGCTCTGCGCTGCCAGAAGCACTAACACTCACACTGCACGTGCAGCCCTGGCCTCGTTAGCAGATACAAGCTCAGAGCTGGAGGCTAAGAGGACATTATCTTCTGTGTTGCATTTCTTGTAATGAGAAGGAGAATAGGACTTGACAGTTTAGCCATCGCTGGTGTTAACCTACATCTGCCCAAGCAATTCTCTCAGCCCCTCTGAAGGACGGACACACGATCCCCATTCTACAGACCAGAATGGACAAACAAATGACAACTTCCCCAGTTCTGTACAGAACATCTGAACTGCTCTTCTCTCCTGCCAGGGCCCCCAGGACACCACACTCAGGTCCAGCACTCTGCTTCCTACAGACCTGCCCTGCGGCATTTCCTATTTGTAGGCAGCAGAGATGAAGGAAGTGCTGCTCAGGGCACCTGCAGGGCGATCACAGCACAATGCTCTCAGCAGGTTTGTGACCAGCCAGCTCACCACCAGCTCCCTCCATGACGACTGCTCTGCTCTGCTCCCTGGGGCGAATTGCCATTCATGGAAAAGGATATCTGTACTGCAGCTTCTTGATGAGCTCTTCAGGGGTAATAAATGTCCTGTATGTAGTCAGGAAGGCTTCACAGTACAGCACCAGATCTACAGAGAAAGACAAGGAAGCCTCAGTCAACTCTGCCTGCAGAAAACAAGGCTTCATGTAAGACTGAATCCAGCCTCACAGAAAGAGGACACCGACACAGACACATTTTGACAAGGATGAGCCGTACAGGAAAGTTGTGCTGTTGTTTCTCACCAGCAGATGGACCCTTAGGCACAAGAGCAGGAGCTGCCCTGTCCCCTAGGCTGGCTCCCATTTGCAGTACTTCAATTTGCTTTCAAGCTTATGCCACCACCAAAGGGATTGGTGAAACACACCTGTCTGTGGGACAGGAACTGTAGTAACAGGTCAAATTCAAATGTGCTGAAAGCCCTGGGGATGCTTTAAAGAGAAGATTTGACAATGAGAGGTGGGTGCCTGCTCTGCCTTTACTGCTCAGCCAGCACAGAGCCCTGCAGAAGACATTCACTTCCCTCCTGAACAGGAACACTCATATTTCAGTGTGATGGCTTGGTGCTGCAGCCTCTCTGCCCTCGCTGTATTCCAGGAAGTCTGCCTCAGGGCAGCGTAAATATCTGATTATTTTCAACCAAAGGAGTAAATTGCACAGCAAAAACTGACTCTGCCCCGTGTGTGACCCTGCCACGACACGAACGCTGCCATGTGATCAAAATGGAAGTTAATTAGGCCTGATATCAAACCAAGCTGTGCTGCAGTCAGCATCTGCAGTGGGATGGCATGCTGCCCTGCTGCAACCACTGGAGAGGCTCAGCAGCACCCACAGGGGAAGGCTCTTGCTGGGCCTGCCCAGGCTTGGCTGTGCACGTTCCACCAGGACAGGGAGCACCCCACACCCACACCCACATGTCAGAACGTGAGCCCACTGTGCAGGGAAGGGTGGGAAAGCAGGGAACGGCGTGAGAGCCGTGCGTCGCTACCTGCAGTGCTCCTCTTGGCAGCAGCCTCACAGAGATGCTTCTTCCTCGCGCTCTGAAAGCAGAGCGTGCTGCTGGCTCTTGGCTAAAGCGATCAGATGTAAGCTGTAAAGCTGGAGGCTGGGTGGTCATGTCAGGGGTGAGCCCTAGGCTTGCTCCAGCTGTAATCCTGCACTCGCACGCGGCTGCGAGCACTTAACTGACCATGGATTTTGATCCCAAAGACCACAAGCCTCCTTTCATCCCTTATTCCATTTAGCTCTTTTAGGAAACTCAAATGGACAAGAAGCATCATGCAGCAGGGCGTGGTGTTGCATTTATTCTGGGTTCCCATCTGCCCAAAAGGCAACGTGAGGTAATACAGCTGGTCTGCTCTGGCACTCAAAGCTGCCAAGAAATTCATCTTTAAAGGAAAGCCTCTTAACTGTACCCCTCTGTGCTGTTTGGCTGATTGATTTACAAGCCCTGAATTCTTCTCATTGTAAGCTTAATTCATTAACCCTCTCAGTCACCCAAACACTGGGTTAGCATAGCACAAATTCCTCCGTGCTCCATTCAGATCAGCAGCTTGGCAGAGCATGCAAGGCTGAGCTGTGCGACTGCCCTGAGAAATGCACCGCTCCCCCCCTGCCCATCCTCTCCCCCTGTCCTGCTGTGCATTCAGAATCCTGCTCTGCTTTTTCCTCATCTCGAGAGGTTCTCCACAGCCTCACTGCCTGCAGCCTCCTCTGAGCTCCCCATTCAGGAACTGGTGGTTGAGCACACATCCCTTTGTCAAGTGGTGTCTTTAAACACAGTGGGGAAGTTCTTCCAATGTGATGCTTGTTCTGGAGAAGAGCAAGAGCAAATCAGAGCTTCTCTATTCCAGTTTTGGCTTTTGTACATGGGGCATTTCCATTTAGATTTTTTTTTTTAATGTACTTATCTAACCACAGGGCAATGAATTGCCTCCTTCTCTCTAGTATGCTCCTAACTTTGGTCCTCTGTGCCTGGATTTGATGCCTGACGTAAATAGGGAAATATATCTGCCAAGGGAAGGATTTTCCTGCTAGCTGAATGGTGCTGTAAGTAATTGGAAACACCTTATGCTACAGCATAAGAGCTGCCATTTAAAAATGCACATGAAAGATATCTCCCCTTTGGCTATCAAACCTCTAAAATATGAGAGCTGAGTGGTTCAGAGGGTTAGAACATTTCGCCTTGCATCCCAGGAGATAAGGAGATCAATTCTGGTTAAAGGCCATCAGCACAAATGCATTTGGCAGATTCAAAATCACTCTCTGGAAATGCTGCAACGACTGTGTGTGTCACAGCTCTCAGAAAGGAGCTGCTCCACGTGGGTGGTGACTGGGGCTGGATTGAGAGTGGGGCTGTAACAAACAGAGCTAGGAGCTGCCACCCCTGGCTCTCTCCTCCACATCTCATTTCACATGCAGTAAATCCCCTCCCTGCCCTGGTCTAGGGGTAGTGGTACAGAGCTGGATGAGGCAGTGAGGAGGGGGTGGCAGCAGTGCCACCAGGCTGCCTGATGGCCACGGGTACAAAAGCCTCCATCACTTCTGCACTTTCAGAAGACAACATCTGCCCTCAGCAGGCCTGGAGACACTGTGGCAGCAGTTCCACTGGCTCCAGGGCCATGAGGAGTTAATTCCAGCCCTGCTGTTAAATGGAATGACCAGGCGCTTATCCAGCTTACCTCTGTTTCACCAAAGATAAGCACAATCCCCCCTGCAACTCAGGGGATGATTAATGCAGAGCTCTTCAGAGCTGGTCCAGCAGCAAGAGTCACATCGTAACTGCTCACACCACAGAGGTGCAGAAGCCCAGCAGCAAAAGCCCACATCAGGTCATACTCCCCAGCTTTGTTTCGGGGCATCCCCTGTACCTTTCCTGTCGGTCTCCGTCGCATGCACCAACAAAATATCTCCAGATCCTCCGCGGACATCAGGCCCATCATCTCCCTGCAGTGAGAACAGAAGTGCTTTACACACAACCCAAGCTCCGGTCTGGTTTACCATCTCTGGGGCTCAAACTCAGCACTGACTGGCAGAGCACACACTGTTCCTGGCACTGTTTGCAGCTCAAGTTGGGGCACGATCTCAAAGCGCTGGGCTAATCCTGGAATTTGAGTCAAACATTTGGTGTCCCAGATGAGGATTTGGGTCGATTACCACGCAGGGCCTTTGACTCCTTAAAACCAGGCTGTGAAGCACAGTGAAAGCTGAACCTTCTGGCCACAGAAGAATGAAGAGAAATATCCCAGACTCCCAAATGCTCCCAAAAGACCATTAACAGAACAGCAGCTCTGTGTGAACTGTCTCAAAGTGCAGGATCATGTACCACAGTGGCTGTGGGGTGAGAGGTCGTGCATTCAACTTGCATGCCCCTGGAACATCAAAAACCTAGCAAGTTAATTCCCTAATCTGGAACTATTTGGCTGGAGGTCACCTGAAGCAATCCAATAACCAGGAGCAGAAGAACAGCCCTGCTAACTCCTTGACCCCTGCCTCATTGCTTTGAGAACATCCCTCTTTTAGCTCCTGCTATTTGCAACTGAAAATATGCAGAACTCATCTATCAGTCAGCCAGTGGTTCCCACGCTGCAGGAAATGGGGTGCAGGAGCAGTACTCTATTGTTTATAATATGCAGACCATAAAGGAAGAAAAAAGGAAGAAAAAAGTTAAGGGCTGATGCAGATCTGCTACTCCAAAACGATCAGCAATGACTGTTGTTTTTGTGTGTTTTTTTTTTTTTAAAGCTGATGGAAATATTCCTGCAGGTCAGACTGGAATCATGCTTGGCTTCCCTTATCTAAACCTGTTATTTTAATATGCAAAACACTGGAAAAAAACCCACAGACTTGCAGCCATTGAGCAGCTATTTCTAAAATGTGAATTCAAGTGACTCTCTGGCAAGACACATAAAATACTACTTATGGAATCAGCAACAGCTTCTCATTCTCTCTCTCAGCTGCCCAAAGAACACTTCTAAAGTGTCAGTAAATGACAAGTTCTTTCTATTGTTCAGAATAGCCCCTGATAAATCTGAAAGCTTCAAAAGCTTGTGTATTCCCTCAAGCTGCATGAAAAAACAGCTTGGTTGAAGAGCACAGTAAGCAACGGTGTCTGGGAATGCACCCAAGCCAGAAACAAAGTCATTTCTTACATTGGCTTCTCCATCAGCAACGCAATGTCCTGTTTGGGAAACATGCTAACCATGCCTTCAGAAAACCAGCTCTCAGTAGAATATAAACCAAAGAACATGAACAACACCCCGAAGGAGCCCACCTCTTGCTTCAGTGTTAACCTAGCCATAATTTCACTGTGGTCGATAAGGGAGAGCTCATCCACCTCTTCCTCCAGCTGTGACGATTCCAAAGCATCTGGTGACTGCTGCTGCCTGTAAAAAACAGGCAAACAACCATCAGTGTTGTCGTCCATCTGATGATCGAGGTGCTGAGTCCACCTGAGCTCTCAGTGAACAGATCCTCACTAAGTAGCAGTAAGCACACAGAAGGCCTGGAGGTAAAGCTTTTGCAAACAAGCCTACAGGTCTAGCAGTAATTCTGTTACTTTGTGCACCACGTGAAAAACAAACCAACCTTTAGGACCTGCCTGGATTTCTGGCACAAAGGATTTTACCATGCCCTGCATGAATACACACACTTTCACATCTCCTTAATTCACCAGATTATTAGTGCACACAAATCTAAGCCCTCCCTCAAATGTACAAAGACTAAACATGCTCCAAATGCTGCTGCTATGGGCTGTGATCTGACAAAAAAAAATTATATATATATATATATATACATACATATACTCTTTCTGCAGGAAGATTTGGCATCCTGACCACTTTTTTGGTGCACATTACTCCACAGACAGGTGCTCTTGCACCTGGGCACTTTCTCGATGCCTGCATTCATAAGAAAATGAAAAAAGTGCACATCCCTTACAGCTTTCCTCAGGCACAGGTCAGAATTTGGTGCAACGATCTGCACTGAGCTTTGCAGAGCACTGCTGTATTGCCTCCTTCACTGCAGGGATTAAAACCCTCAAACCAACTGCAGAAAATAGGAGGAGGGAAGTTGACTGTCACACACAAAACAATGCTGTTCTCTATTTTTGCCTCAGAAATGCAATTGAAGAGCAATCTCGAGCAGCAGGGAAGCACTCACTCCACTCCTACTGAAGCCCATCTGTCACAGCCTGCACCTCTTCATTTACATAGGCAAATGATAGCTAAGAGCATTAGAAGGGATATAAAGACTCCTGCTCTGGGGCCTCTGCCAGCCTTTAACTAGCAGGGTTAGGAAGAAATTCCCTTCTTGAAGACTATTTCCCAGCAGTGACACAGACTTTTTTCACGTTTCCCTGGAAGCAGGAGGGAGCAGCCAGTGTCTCTGACAGGACTGCCAATTAGATGGCCTTGCAATGACAAACACAGGCTGCATTAACCCCTACTGGCTTGCTGAGTTAACTAATGACATCTTGCCTTGATCCTCCTTCTGCAGTAGGATCCCACTGCTCTGCCACTGTGCAAAAAAACCCAACTGAATAGGCTTAAAACCTGAAGGGCTGGGGGCAGAAGAGGCAGCCACAATGAGCCCTAGCAGAGGAAAGGGAGAGAGGAACATTGCTGGTGCTCTGCACACCTCCAAGCAGGGAAGCAGCTGTAACAGGGGAGCCAGGCTCACCTCTCAGCACCATCTTTGCCTTCCTTCCCCATGGCACTGCTGTTTGAAGTGGAGTCTTTGGAATGGCCGTCTTTGACAGAGGGAGATTCCTGCAAAGAGAAGGAAGTTTTTCATTTTTGTCCTGGATCCTGCACCACAGCCAAGCCTGCATTTACAGTCTTACTGCCTCTAAACGGCTCTTTGCTGTAAATTCCTTCAGAGCAGTTAAAGACTGATGCAAGTTAATGCCAAATGCCAGGAAAACACAGAAGTTAATTAGATAGGAAATTTGGGACCATCTCTGGAGACTAGTGCAATTAGTATTGTTTGCCTTTAACGTTGTGAAATGATGCTGAAAGTTACAACACAAGTCAGCTGTTGTCTTGAATTTTAACTCTCTCATTGCTTTTTTTTTTTTCCAGCCCTTACTGTTGAAATACACTTGCCTTCTGCTTTAATCAGAATGGACACAGCCAGCTCCAAGCTCTCCAGTTTCAGTTCCCCTCTCAGTTACAGCCCCCAAAAGACCAGACTGCCTTGGGGAGGGGGGGATGCAAAGTGCCTTTCCTACTCCCTTCTCCTCCATCAGAAGAGCTCACACAATGATGGAACGCTTCCACTTCACAATTCATGGCTGTGGAAATGAGGCTAATGCAAACAAGCAGAACCACCCGAACACAGCATGGAACAGCAGGTGGACAGCTCGGAGAAAATAGAGTTGCAGCACTTTAAATTAGCCGTTTATTAAAGAGAGAAACAGCCATGAATGGCAAATGGGGATATTAATCTAACAGTGCTGGAGTTCAGAATTATTGAACGTCATGCAAAGCGAACCTTGGACATTCCACCTACTGAACTGACAGGACTGAAAGCACCTCTAAACCTGCCCAGCTTTGGTGGGGAAGGTGCACCGGGGAGCTGAGATTTGTCAGCGCCTGTGGAATTTCTCCAGGCTGCATCTATCTGTAAAGTCCTTTGCTTCCAAGTTAAGAATCAGTTAGTGATTGCCCAGAGGGCTGGGGCTGTCCTAATGAAGGGGAATGATGGGAGCACCGTCTCCTGGGATATTTAATGCCAGCAGGGATAAAGGTTTTGGAAACATCCTGCAGATGGGCCACTCTAGGTGAGGGCTGGCAAAGGGAGCAGCACAAAGCTCAGGGTGACACAGCAGGAAGGTGGCACCTCCCTGCCATGGGGTATGTCCCATCTCAAGGCAACAGCTCAGATAGGAGGCTGGAGGGAAGGAAGAAGCAGTGCGTGGTTACGGTGCTGTTGATCAATCATTTCGTACCCAAGTGGGGAAGGAAAAATAAGAATTAAAAAAGGGGAGCACAAGGCTTTATTTATTGAAATAGGAAAGCCAAAGCGATTACAAGAGTAAACACAGACAGAAGACCGTGCTGGTCAGAGTGCAGCTCTCTAAAAGGGAACCTTACGCAAGCAGCTCCAAACAAACAGCAAAGCACAAATGGGCCACAGAGGAAGGCAAAGCCATCCCTCCATCCTGCCGGGGCTCTCAGCATCAGAACAGGAGGCCACCGAAGCCTGCAAGCCAGGAGAGGGCAAGCGAAGGGACCACCAGCAAGGGGACCGGGCACCCCGGGGTGTGCAGGGGCCGGGCCACAGTGTGAGCTCAGCATGCACCAGGCAGCCCCTTCCCAGAGCGTGGCCTCTCCCGGTTACTTACTCCTCCAGCATGAGGGAGTTCCCCGTTGCTCTGGCCAGAGGAATACAGATTGACGTATTCACCCTCACCAGCCTCCTCACTGGCGTTTTCACTCTAGGGGAGACAGGATGAAAGGAAATACGTGACGGTGCCCCTGGGCAGCGTTGGCTGGTAGCAAGCACTTGCGCCCTGCGGTGCCATCACCGAGGTGGCAGCCCGTCCTCCAGCTGCACGTTCCCAGAGGTGACCAGACCGGAGTTCTCAAGGACTGTCCTGAAGGCCCTGAGCTGCAGCAGGACAGCAGCAGGCACTGCGTAGCGAGAGCTGCTATGGGAGCTGTGCAGGTGCACAGTGCACATGAGGACATCCAGCGTGCAGCTGTTAAGCGTTCAGAGCCCGAGCACAAGCGCCATTGTGCCGCTGCCAGCCCTGAGGAGCCAGGCTGAGCCAGACTTGAGGGCTGCTGGGTGCTTACAAGGACTCAAAACAACAAAGATGCAACAGCAAGGTCAGGTCTAAAAGGTGAAAAACTGATTTCTGTGGTGTATGTCCCTCTTCTCAGTACTGTGAAGAGGCAGAGTTGAGGTTCTGATCCCATCAACCGTAGGTTTTGCAACACACAGATGAGAAATCGCCTTGTAAATGAGGTGCTTAAAGAAGTAACCTGCCTACTGGCCTGCTAAACCAACCAGGGACCTTGAACTGAGGAAACAGCTTTCAGCCCAACTCCAGCACTGCGTTACACTTTGCACTGAGTGCCAGCAGTGCTGGCAGCTGGGGACAGCAGAAGCCCACAGAAAGTAGTGGCTTATGTAAGGAGAGTGCAGAGCTGAGCTAAGTCACTGCTCCTGGGGCTCACCAGGGACTCAGGGAGCAGGAGAGCAGAGATGCAGCTCCTGCAGGATGTGAAGCACTGCTGGGAGCCAACCTCACCAAGCACTCCTTTACCTTCCTCTGATTTGTATCACAATTGCAGGAAGCTATAGCAACTTCTCTTCCTCTCCCCTTCACCAGCATTTGACATTTTATGTTTCCAACCTCTCAAACCTGTGGGGTTGCTCAGATTTACAGCCATCGTTTTTGTACAGAAAACTCTCTCTGCATTCACACGCAAGTTTGGAAACCAAATCACAAGTATTAACACAAGTGACATTCCTTTAAAACAAAAACAAGCCCGGCCTTGCGTTAAGGTGCACACGATCACCTCTTTGGATAGTCTCACCGAAGGCGTCTGCAGAGAATCAGTGAGAGAGGTTTCAGAAGGAAGGCAGACAGGAGCACTCCCGTTAAAGCTGCTCTCCTGCGAAGAGGAGTTTGGCACATCCCCAGTGCTGGGAGACGGGCTGGCCGTGGCTGGCACTGCGAGGTCAGAGCTCGGAGACGGGTGGACGGGCGGAAAGGGTGCGGTGGAGCAGGAGGAGGAGGTAGAAGACAGGAAAGGAGGTACGGAGACTTGGTTGTGAGGCACAAAGTCCTGCGAGTAGGACCTAAACACAGACTTGTACTACGGGGACGCAGAGATGCACAACACAAAAACATAGAAGATGGGAAAAGGAAGGAGACAGACAAGAGAAAAAGTGATTAGATCAGCAGCAGCTTAGCAGTGACAGCACAAGGTAATTCTAACAAAGGCACCTCCGTGCCCACAGGCAGCCCTGAACAGAGGCAACCTTATTTTCTCCTCCACGTGTTAGAGCAGGAATTGTTACCTGGGCGGGCAAGTTTGATGGTGAGGTGAGCCCTTCCACAAACAGCAGCCCAGGGCAGGATGGATGGTGGCAATGGGGTGATCAGCACGGAGGGACACCAGGTGCTGCAGCAGTGAGCAACAGAGCACACCTGGACAGCACCAGACTGGCTGAAGGGATGCGAAGGTATACAGAAACCACGGCTCTGAGTGTGCTGGAAGCATCTCAGCAGGGAAAAGCACTCTGAGGGCTTTCTGCTTTGCTGGGATTTTCCACTGGATCCCAATTTAAGATGCCGTTTGCTCCAGCCCTGTAATTTAACAGCTACTGTGTCAAGACCGTTCCAGAATACACAGTTCACAGTGAGAGGTGACTGGATTGTGCCTTCAGAGCAGCGCTGAAGGACAAAGGAGATTACAGCAGTAGATGCTTTCACTCCTTTCCATCTGAGAAATACTGGGAGTAAAAATGATAATTGCCCTCAGGAGCCCTGAATTCCTTATCAAACCAATCCTTTAATGCAGTGCCTCCAAGAGTCAGCTGAAGAGATGAAAGAAGATCATCTACATAAAGCTTCATTTCACCATCTCTCCTAATCATCAGATTACTGTTCTGATAATATTAAGCAGGGTGCAGTGGGAGTATGCTGCGCCAAGAAAAACATGAGCAATCCTCTGCCTTTTAACATCTGGTGCTGGTAAGATGTGCCATCAGGGTGACTACAAAACAAGAACAGAACACAGCTGACATCCACCAGAAAAATAAATAATGAAAAGACAACAATGCTAAACCTGCTGGAGGGGAGTTTATCTTACAGCTTGTAGAGCTCAGTCACTAGTGAGATCTGAATTGTAGCCCTGTGGACTAAGGAATAACCGTGTCATCCCAAACCCAGGCTGAAATACAGCTGTGGAGCTGTGGTGGTTGCTTGGAGCAATATCACAGAATCAGAGAATCACAGAATGGCCTGAGTTGAAAAGGACCACAATGCTCATCCAGTTTCAACCCCTCTGCTGTGTGCAGGTCGCCAACCAGCAGCCCAGGCTGCCCAGAGCCACATCCAGCCTGGCCTTGAATGCCTGCAGGGATGGGGCATCCACAGCCTCCTTGGGCAACCTGTTCAGTGCCTCACCACCCTCTGAGTGAATAACCTCTTGCACTACACAGCTCCCAAGCAGCTCAGCTTGCTGAGAAGTGACAGAGTAAAGGAAGAAAGGGAAACAAAAGCATGAATTGGAAAATTCAGGAGAAATGAATTAAATTGATAAGAACCAAAGCTCGGTCCATCACCCGCACCTTGCAGCAACACCCAGCTTGGCGGTGGTATTTTTCTCCCTTCTCTACAATATATAAGCTTAAAAATCTGAACTGAGAATCGCCTCAGGCTCCTAGCCTGGGAACAGAAGCTTCTCCACTACAAGCAGGAAAGGAAACAAAGGTCAGAGGCCAGACTTTACCTTCTACCAGCTCAATCCTCCAGCTCCCCTCCGTCGTGCTGCAGCTCTGGCAGCGCTCCCTGTGCACCCAATGCAACTCACGGCCATAACACAGAGGAGCAGAGGGAGATGCTTTGGAAAGAGAGCTTAAAAGACTACTGAAGAATAATCAAAATGCAAATCCCTACCACATGCCTGTGGCTAAAAGGAGACGGGTGCTAGGGCAGGCTCCTCTCTCTTCCTGCCCATTTCTTCATGGCTGAGTAGCCCTGGCTCCAGGGACACCGTCTGCTTTTGGAGCTGCCTCAGTAACAATGACAAGTCTAATCTCTGTATTTACTTTCTGCCTGGATAAATGCTCTACATTTATTCATTTTCACTTGCATGGCACAAAACACTAAATCCCTGGTAAGACTCTGGGCTCATGACATCATCTTGGCTCAGCAGATTCATTATGCCTCCCCTGTCTCCCTGGTATTTCATGATCTCACTGGCGCTAACATGCCAACTAATGCCCCAAGTCCCAGGCTCACCCCTCAGAAAAAGAACAGGAGCAAAGTGGATGGAGCACATGCATCTCCCACCAACACACTGCAATGGCTCTCGAGAACTTGCTCAGCAATCTGCTGCCCCAGCGATGAGACCCAGTGTGATCCACAAACAATCATTAAATGATGCAGGCATGCTCTCAGCTCGCTGCTAAACGAAGGGAACAGCACAGAAAAGCCTTTGGTGTGCTGGCATTGATTAGCCAAGCTGTTCTCAACTTCCAGTCTCTCAGCACTGTTTGCATGTCGCAGAAAGCAGCCAGGAAGACCCCTCCTTCCTCCTGCTCAAGCAGCCCAGGAATTCCAGCTATGCAGCCATGCTGGGACAAGAGCCAAGAATGCAGCATACTTTGAAAGTGGAAAAACACCCTGCGGTGGAGATGAGGTCCATATGGCACCATTCCTGCTGTGCCCACCCAGCCCAGCCCAGCCAGCAGCTGCAGCAGGAATTGCTGCCATGGGGTCTGGGAGGTGCACCACCCTGAGAAGCCCTATCATCCCATAAAAGCCAGGCTTATTTTGGGAGGGGAGAGTCCATTCAAGACAACTGTTGGAATGAAACCAGTCCTCTGCCCTCCACAAAATCAGAGGCAACAGTTTATCTTAGAAGCAAATCAGCGCTTGTTTTTTCTCTGTTTTTTTGCAGGGTCAGCAAGGCCTCAGCTATGGCTGCACGACCTCCAACTCCATGACTTTGCTTTCAGCAAAGAACTTCAAAATAATCTTTGAGAAGCTAGAAAGCAACCAGACCCCTTGAGAAAAGACATTTTCCTCTTTCCAACTGCTGTTAAGTCTCCCGTCATGAGGGATTCTGACCTGCGACAGCAAATGGCCAGCACAGGGAAGAAGAGAGAGCAGGAAGAGATCCCTCCCCTCTCCCCACTGAAGCAGATTTAGATAAAGCTCCATCACTTGGGAAGCATTTCCACAAGGAGCGCTCTGAGTTCAGAGCAATCTCCTGGGAGCAGCAGGAAGGCAGCCTGTCCAGACCTGACAGTTTACATACACTGAAAGTAGCGTGGCACACACAGCCCTTCCAGAGATGGCATCTTTCAACATCTTCAATTTGCTGCCTTTGATTGTTTGTTTCAGAACAGCCTTCCATCATTAAGAGGGGCGTTACAGGATGCCCCAAAGGTCAATGACGTTAGGAACGTTTATTTGGGTTAGATGGCAGGAGATAAACACTCTAACAGAAACCTTACTCAACATCCACTCGGCACTGGGATCAGGGAGAAAGGGTGTTCATAAGCAGTTGCTAATTGTAACAGCAATCTGCATCCTAAATTCAGAGCTGAACTCAATCAAACGGTTGTCAGAGCATCTGAAGCATCAGCAGCCACAGTTCTTACCTTTTAAGCAGGGCCTTCTCTGTCACCCTACTGACTCCTGCCAAATTAACTGCGATCCTGCCAGACACTCCCAGATCAGATAGAGCACCC